ATAGCTAGTAAAACTGCAGATCTCAGATTTGAACTTAAAATCATCTGACAAAACTCTAAAACTGAAAGTACCAAAACAAACAAATGGACGAGCTCCTGACAGAGAAAAGGAAGAAGAAACTCCCTTCTAACTAATTTCTTTCTGTACCCAAAAGGACCTATGAGTCAGGCTACCCAGCTATGTTATGGATCAAATAAATTTTTATAGTCTAGTCTGTGAACATGACCACAGTTTCAGAATACAGATAAATGTTTTCAAGACCCAAATATTTTAGTCCCAAAATTTCAAAAATACCTTTATTCCCAGCTTGGAAATTGGTTTAATTTACCCCAAACACAAATGACTTGAGGACCAAGAGCTATAATAAATTATCACAGTTTTCATATTCTTATTTACTCAGCCTGAATATGCAACAATTTGATTAATAATCTCTTATATAGCATTTATTAGTCCAGACACATAGAGTGTAATATTACCTGTTCCTGTCCCTACTTAATTCATGGTCTAGAAGGAGACACAGTTTCATAAAAATAGCTATAAAAATGTGATAAATGCTATTAGGTATGTACAAAGCGCTATGAGAACACAAAAAGGAAATAAATTTAGGGAATGATACTAATATCTGACTATCATTCACAGACACACACCTCCAGGTTTAGAACTGGGTGTTAACTATGCTGCCTTTGGCATAAGAAAGGGTGGCAGGGAGCGGGATATGAACATATAAATGTATTTCCTTATATTTTCAAAAGGAAATGCTGGCAGGATAGCCCAGAAACTAGCTAAAATATTACAAATAAGGAGTGGGAGGGAGGATGGGTTGGAGGGGACAGAATGAAAGAAAGAGTGCTCTGAGTAAATCTTTTCTTTAAAAAATTTTTTTTTTACTTTTGCAACCTATGTTTTACATATTTAAAAAATAAACAAAGGAAAAACCAACCCCTGTCCTACTCCGCATGCCATCAAAACAAAATTAACAGTAACAAACCAGAAGTGTCTTAGAGGGATTCCTTCTGCAATGTTCTTTAGGACATGAATCCCCAAGTCTTGGTATTAGAGGTCACCAGTGCCACGTTATTTAAATGTGTCCAATGTAAACACACTTTCCCCCACAGAACTTGGAGAGATTACTCATGAAGCAGTGGTATTTTGTGGAACACAAGGACAGCTATTGCTTTGGTTTATAGCTTTATTCAATTCTACATATCTTTGTTGTCTTTTTAGTTCTCCCCAAGTCACCATAAGTTTTCTTCCATTATTTCCACTATTACTTCAAAGAGCAGAATAAGTGAAATAAGTTCTATATCTAGATATATCCTAATAGGATTTTGGAATACAAAAGAAGAAAAAGAAGATCCCAAAAGGCCTGCCTAGTGTGAAGGCTTGAGTCCCTCCTTAGCTCTAGGAAATACTCATCTACCTAGACCTTAACAATTCTCTTCCTTTTATTTTTTAGATAACTTTTAAAAATTTAGCTAAAATTCATACAACAAAAAATTCGCCATTTTAACAATTTTAAAATGTGCAGTTCAGTGGCTTTTAGTGTACATGCAAGGTTGTGCAACAATCACCACTATCTAATTCCAGGACATGCTCATCATGCCCCAAAAAGAAACCCCATCCCCATTAAGCAGTCATTCCCTTCTATTTTTTAAATTCTCTATTTCCGATTTAATAGTGCAACTTTGGACCTCCTAGATTATTCTTTTATAGTTTTCAACTTCTTCCTCCTGTTTTTAACTTTTTATTCTATATCCTAGGAGACTTTCTTGATTATATTCTGTAGTCTTTCTATTGAAAAAAATTTTTTTTAACTTCAGCAATATTTCAGTTTCCAAGAGCTTTTTCTTGTAATTTTCTCCTTCAAAATATTTTAGTTACATTATTCTGAATATATTAATAAGATAATTTAAAACATTTTCTTCTGTTCCTTAAGTCACCTCTTTTTCCTCTAGGACTAATTTTTCTGTTAGTTTAGTTTTGGTCCTTTTCTTTCATGCTGCTGGTTTTCCTCATTTGCTGAAAGATCCTTGGTTGTCCATTCACATTTAGGGCAGAAGGATATGGAAACTGTCGTTTGCAAAAAGGAAATGCCGGAAGGATAAGCCATAAACTAATTAAAATGGTTGGTGTATAAGGGGTGTAGGGCAGGGCAGACAAGGACAAGTGCATTACTTTAGGGTGAGTACGTGGGGGACCAAGCTCTAAGGCTGCAGAACCCTGAATTCTTGTATGAAGACTTATTCTGGAGCATCAACATCCACACTAGAAGCCTCAGCTTTCCCCAAATGTTTCATTCAATTTCTTTCTAGAAGGACTATCTGGTGTTTTACATGGAGGAAAATGCAGGCTGCCCAAGTAGAGGTGGGGTAGGAAGGAAGGTGGGGGCATGGTGGACTAGTGGGAGCAGTTGCCATTTATAGTCACTCAATTAATCTTCCTTGTTTTCAGCACCAATTCTCACTTCTGCTCATCTCTGTCCCTGAGTCTTTGGAAATCTGTTGGGCTGATCCACTTCCTAGCTCACGGTACTCTAGGTTGCAGCTTCTTGGCTTTAGCAAATTTGCAACTGCAAATTCTTGCAGTTTCTTCCTTCAACCCACCCCCAACTACTTTCCAACTTCCAGAAATTTCTAAAAATTTGTAATTGGTGACCGATTTGTTTCTCTTTGTTGTTTTGGTGCTTTTTATTTCAATGGACTCTCAGGAGAAACAGGAGTCAAATGCTGATATCTAGTCTTAGATATCTTGAACTTAGTGCTTTTAAGGAAAGGAAAAGATTAGACTTTCTATAGAAACTTGCAGAGACATAATAGAACCAGACAGTTCTATATTCTCTCATCTTTTCACAGTACTTGTTATTTATGAAGAAACAAAGTGACTATCTAGATAAATACTAAGGTTTGTTTAATATTTAATAGAATTGTCATGATTATGGGTTCTTAACTTATTATATGTAGGACTTTCTATGTTCTGTTATTGCATGTTTCTAGAGGGAGAGTTCTACTGTTTTCATTAGAATTCCAAGGGGCCTAAAACCTACAGGAGATTAAGAACCACAGGACTAAATGAAATGCACTCTCTCAACTAGTGTTAGAAGGTAAAAATCTCCATTCCATGATGCTTTGTTTAAGTTTTAGATCTTAAACTGCAGGTGTTTAAATCACAAAAGATTGAAGTTTGAAAATAATTTTGAAGTTGTTTAAAAAACTCCAAGGCAGGGGCCGGCCCTGTGGCGTAGCGGTTAAGTGCGTGTGCTCCGCTGCTGGAGGCCCAGGTTCGGATCCCAGGCGCGCACCGACGCACCGCTTGTCAGGCCATGCTGTGGCAGCATCCCATGTAAAGTGGAGGAAGATGGACACAGATGTTAGCCCAGGGCCAGTCTTCCTCAGCAAAAAGAGGAGGATTGGCACGGATGTTAGCTCAGGGCTGATCTTCCTCACACACATACAAAAAATAAATAAAAAATAAAAAAATAAAAAACCCCAAGGCAATCAGTAAACAAATGAATGTATAATATGTTGTAAAGCAGTGGGGTTTCTTTCAGGAACACATCCAAATGCATTATGCAGTGGCTCAACAAATAATAGGAAACAACCTCACTCAGGGCTTTAGCTCTCTTGTGCAGTAGCTCAGAGTACTGAGGGGTGGGGATGCCAGATAATTTCCCAACTGATGACCTGGATAGCTACTTGGAATATAGCCATTCAGGTACAATATCAAGTTTTACACTAGAAGACCCAGTGACTAAATTTTAGAAGACCTAGCTGCTGTGTTAAGATTAGGCTAAAAAGTAACAAAGAAGGGGAGAAACTAATTGATATATTAGCCAAGAATTTCAGTATCTCTAAAAAATAAACCAAGATGTTAATTCTGGTTAAGACAGGTTTTTCTGAAGCTACCTAAATGTCAACTTTTGGGTTCTAAGCAAATGACAGCTGGTCATGTGGCACTTCAAACAATAGTTCAAGTAACGGTTTCATACATATTTTAAAAATAAGTAAAAATTTAAAAACAGTAACACAGCAAGAAGCAGAGTTGTGTGGATAACAATGTATGATTTTAACTTCTCTTAACTGAACATTAATATTTGTTCAAAATAGGAAAATAAAAATGTATGCATTGTTAAAGAAAAAAACCTCAGTGACACTTGTTAAAACAGTAAAGACGACTTTATTCAAGAGGAAGAAGCTATCAAGGTAGGTATAGAGACCAGTGGGGGACAGAGATTGGGCTCAATTCTGAATACTGCATAGGCAACTGGGAATTTACAGCCAAGGAGCAGCGTGGGGGTCAGTGGATGGAAAATTACTAAGAGGAAACATCAAGGGTAAGGGCTAAATTGACCTAGTAGAATTCTTGCTGAAGATAGGCCAGGGTGCTGAGACATCACCTGGGGAATAACCCATCAGATATTGAGAGGGGGGGTTCTGTTCAATTGGCTTAGTAGGGTTCTTGCTAAAACTAGATTTTACGAGGAAATGCACAGATGGGCTTGGGAGAAGGTTCAGGAGACTGACTAAAGTTTGGTCAAGCAAAGAATCTTTCTCAGCGTTCACAGAATTATGTTGACACAATGGCCACAAGGAAGGTCAGCCACACTATATATATTATACATCTTATAGTAATGCTTAAAATCTGGGCTACCGTAGCTTCGGTTGGAATACTTGAAGAAACAAGTTAATGCTCATTAGCGAATTAAACTCATGTGGTTTTGCATGGTTCAATAAGCTGAAGGTAAACTTTTTTCTGATAACATCTTCAAAAAGACATAGGGAACAACATCTGAAGATTAATGATTACCATATAATTTTATGTGTGTGAACTGGTTAGCACACTGTACCCTGGAAGATACGTATCTGAATAAGCGTTGTTCATCTGTCTTCACTTGCTTTGTTCAAACAGGCTATTATCAGGAATATTTCAGTTAATCAAAGGTTATAGTTCATTATAGTTCTACTATAAAATTTTATAAACCAAAAGAAACTCCCATTACTTACCTAAGCGATGAAATCCAAAGGTGAATCTTTTGGTTGGTGATTTTGAAGACAGCCACAAGGCAAGCAGGGTCAGTATGATGGCACTTAGGTCAGTCAACATGTGAAGGGCATCGGTCATAATTGCTAGGCTATTTGCAATGTATCCGCCTTAGAGTAAAGGTGAGAGGTAAGAAGAACTAAGTTAATTAAAATAAAAATGTAAGCAATCAAACCAAAAATATGTAACATCCTACAAAACATGAGCTTTTACCTAAATCTTTATCCTATTACAATTAAATCAGGGTATCCTGAAATTTTATGCAAAACCTTAAATATGTGTATATTTTTCAGGTGAGAATGTCCATTTCTGTGACAGATTCTCCAAGCAGTCAATGACCTTAAAAAAGTTAAGAAACACTAAATTAGGGGCTAACACATAAGCCGCCCACATAACACATAAGGGGCAGCTTTTACTCAACCTCCTAATTCTACTATTAGACAGTGAAATTAATAACCACAATATCTAAATATTACAATAAAGCTGAAGAAAAGGTAAGTATTCACTTGTTTGGGAGGGTTTGAACATAAAATTAAACTGAAGAAACTCCTAAAATGTACATTAGTTCAAAACAAAAGATAAAAATTTAACTGATTCATTTGGATATAGATAGTAATGTCTCCTAATAGAGGGATAAAAAGTGGTATTTAGAATACAATTTTTTATATTGATTTTCCAGGCATTTTATATAAAATATATTTCACATATTTGTGTGTGTGTATATATATATGTTGTTGCATTATACAACCAATTTTCCTAGCACCATTCATTGAATAAGCTTTTTATAATACAATTCAGAGTATTCAAACTTTTATGTGTATCAGAATCACCTGGAAGGTTTGTTAAACTAGATTGCTTGACTCCACTCCCAGAATTTCTAATTCAGTGGGTCTGGATGGGGTCTGAGAATCTGCATTTCTAACATGTTTCTAAGTGATGCTGATGTTTCTGGTCTTGGAACCACACTTTGGGCATCACTTATATTCTACAGCAAAACTTCATGATCAGGGGATTGTGACACATAACTGTGCTGAGCTGTTGATCCCCCTATTCCTGTGATGGGTGTTCAGAGCCAAGAGCAGCAGGAGAACTGGAGCAGGTGATCTTGTAGTCACATCCATTTATTCCAGGGTGCTCTATAGAAATAGCATTTTTCATGTATTCCCAGACATGAAAAAGCTGGAAATCACTGAGACAAAATACAGCTTGGTGGTTAATAACATGGGGCTTTGGAATCTCAAGACCCTGAGCAAGTTACTTGACTTTTTTGAGCCTCAGTTTACTCATCTATAAATGAGGATAATACCTTAAAGCTGCACTGTTCAATAGAACTTTCTGAGATGATGGAAATGTTCTATCTGCACTATCCAATCAAGTAGCCACTAGTCACAGGTAGCTTTTGAGCATTAGAAATATGGCTATTGCAACTGAGGAATTGAATTTTATTTTATTCAAATTAATCTAAATTTAAAGAGCCAGAGGATCAGCAAAAATAGCAGAGAAAGGACCTCTGAAAATCATCTCCTCCATAAAAGCAATGAGAACACAGGCAAAAATTAAGTCAGCTTTTTCAGAACCCTGCAAATTAACCAAAGGCTGATACAGGTAGCATTTATTCAAGGAAAACGGCTGAATCTTGGTAAGAACAATGAGCTCTGTGGCATTTTAACCTGCCTTGTACATATCTCCCCCTCTCCAGCTCAGCAGTAGCCTTGAAGACCAACAAACAGCAATCACAGTGAAAACCTCAGCCTGGCAGCCCCTGCGAGGGACAGACTGGGGTTGGAACTCTTTGAAAGCTCCATTCCCAGATTACTGCTATTATTTGACCTGTCTGGTAGTTCCCTGGAAGACCAAACTTGCAAAGCTGTTTTTCTTTGACTTGACTTGGAGCTCCACCCTATGCAAACCCCAGGGAGTGTTGGTCAAAAACAATCCAAGGCAATTGTTTAACACTGCAGCTGCCTGAGGGAACAGATAACAATGTGTTTCCTGTATTCTGAAATTTTACTATGATGTACCTTGGTGTGGATTTATTTTCACCCAATTTGCTAGGCTTTTCTTAACTCTTTCAACCTGGAAATGTATACCCTTCAGTTCTGGGGAAATTTCTTAAACTATGTTGTTGATGATTTCTTTCCTTCTGTTTTCTCTATTCCTCAAACTCCTATTATTTGGAGTTTGAACTGATATACTAATTTTCTTGTCTCTTTTCTTCTGTTTTCCATTTCTATCTTCTTGCTCTACTCTGTGAAAGATTACCTAATTCATCTTCTATTGAGCTTAAAATTTTTTTTTACGTTTTTATTGTTCAAAACCTTTTTACCGTGAATTTATTTTTCAAAGCAGCCTGTTTTTGTTTCATGGATACATGATCTCTCTTATCTGTGTGGATACCAATTATTATATTAATATACTATACTATATTATATACTAATTATATTATTATACTATTATATCTGCCTGGCTCTTAAAAAGGTCTTAACTCGCTTTATTTCTTTTAGCCTTGTTCTTTACCCACATTTCTAGGAGTACCTGGTACAACCAATTCTGGGCCTACTTACGAATCTCTAATGCAGTAGTTCTCAGTTGTGATCCCCAGATTAGCAGTATCATCATCTCCTTGGAACTTGTTAGAAATGCAAATTCTCAGGCTCTATCCCAGACCTACTTAATTAGAAACTCTGGCCCAGCAATTTGTGTTTTAATAAGTTCTCTAGGTGTTTCTGACACATTAGTGTGACCTGGATTGGTTCCTAGCTTTCTCCACTGCTTGCTTAGGAGTTGGCTTTCTTGGGACAGTTAAGTCAGTTACCTCTTTTATCTGTTTCCTTTCTAGTTTTCCAAATTGGTGTTGCTATTGTCTCCTCTCCAGATTTCCCCATCTGTGTGGAGGAAGACTATATATATACACACTATAAGTATATACTTATATATAGAGAGAGTGTATATATATATATATATACACACACACACAAATATATAGAGAGTATGTATATAGGTACACTATATATACACTGTGACTATATATATACACTAATGTGACTATGAAATTCTCTCTCTGTATATCCCTTTATTGTATGTATGTATCCCTTTATTTTAGTTTAAGAGAGGCTTTAGGAGAGAATACAATTAGATGCATGAGTTCATTTGCCATCTTTACCTGGAAGTCTGTTTGCATTCACTCTTCAAGCTTTTTCATTCACAATAAAAATGCAGTTGTTAGAGTAATCAATAACTCTGTTACTAAATCCTAAGGATATTTTAGTTCTCATCTTATTAGACCTCTCAGCAGCTTCAACTTATTTATTTCCACTTTGAAATACTCTCTTTTCTTAGATTCTGGGATACCTGTTTGCCTTCTGCCTGACTTCTAAAGTTGGAGTTCCTCAAGACTTGGGCTCTCAAGGTAATTTTTTTCCATTCCTATGGCATTATATACTGTATACCTCTCTCCCTTGGCCTCTCTTCTGAACTACAGATTCATAAGTAACAGCTCACTAGACATCTTTACATGGCTATTTCACATACATATGATAATACGTCTAAAACAACCCTTGATCCATGCCTAAATCTTGCTCTGTATTTTCTCCCTGCTTCATAAATGACATATATTTCCACACACTCAGCTGCTTAGGTGAGAAACTTCAGAAGCATTCCTGACACTGCTCCCCCATCAACCCCTACATCCAAACCATTAGCCAATATTGTCAATGTTACGTCTGGAATGCTTCTCAATCACTACATTTTTCTCCATCCACTCTAGTCCAAGCCATAATCATTTCTTGTCTGGACCTCTGCAGTAGTTTACTTGCTTCCATTCGTGCACCCTCCAATTCATTCTTCACATAAGAGCCAGAGCAATCTGTTAAAAAGCTAAAGCCCATCATGTCACTCTCTGCTTAAAAGACTTCACTGGCTTCCCATCATAGTTACAATAAAAACTATACTCATAATAATATGGTCTGCCTGATCTGGTCCCCCTGCCTCTTTCCTGCTTGCTCACTACATTCCAGCCAAACTGGCCTTCTTTTCAGTTCCTTTTAAAGAACTAAAAGTTTTAGGACCTTCGTACATGATGTTCTCTTCACTTGGAAAACTCCTCCTCCACTTCCTTTGCTTGAATAACTCCTACTATCTTTTTTCCGTTTAACTGTACCTGGCTCATAAATAAACTTTGTCTCACTGGTTACTATGTCTTATAAGTACCTTGTTCTTTTTCTTCATTGCACTTAAGACCATTTGAATTTTAAAGTTACTTGTGTTTATTTAACATCTGTCTCCTTCATTAGATTAAATGCTTCCGATATTAGTGATCATAACAGTTTTGTTCACCATAGTATATCCAGAACACGTAGCACAGTGCTTGGCATACAGTAAGTACTCAAAAAATACTTGCTGAGTGGAAGGAAGATAAGAATGGACCTTGTATAATGAGCAAGTTAGTGGCAAAGCCAAGATTCAAAATCGAGTTTCCTCTTTTAGATCTTTAAATTCATGTTTTTATTACTCCATACTTCCTACATAAGATGCTTTATTTCTAGGTGCTTTGAACGTACGTTAATAAATGCTCTACTGTATACAATTCTATATAACATTCTGAATAGTATTGTTAATGCCTATCCTACATACTAGCATCTCTGTATTGTTTAACAAAAGATTTTCATATTTGAAAAGGAACACTTATTGTGGCTTTCACAAAACAACATTTACCAAATGTTGACTTCAAAAATGGTAAGTCAGGACAATCGTATTTAACAATTTTTACTTAGGCGAAACAAACTCTAAATTAATTTTAAGGGGGAAAATTGTGTTTAATGTGATTTTTAAATTCAAATATTAAATATTAACTTCAAGAATCACAAAGTCTGAATGACTATATATTCTAGCTGTGTGAATCTGGGCAAATCATTGACTCTTAGTATGCTGAGACGATGTCTTACCTGGCCACAGCTTTACTCCCATCTTTTAATTTGTTTATAGCTTAAGCATTTATAATTCTCTAAGCATTTATAATTCTCTAACACAACAAAAATTAATTCAACAAAAATTTACTGAGTGTCTACTCTGTGCCAGTCATTGTTCTAATAAGCTGGAAATTCAGCTTATTAAATTTCAGTGGAGGAAGACAGATATTAAACAAGTGAATATACAAACAAGATAATCTCAGATGCTGAGGGCTTTTAAAGTTGGGGCAGAAACAGGGACGAGAGGTTTACTTTAGTCAGTCTCAGAGGTATCTTTTGAGATGACATATGAATGACAAGAAACCAGTCGAGATTTGGGAAAAGGCAGTCCATATAAAGCAGCGTTTTTCAAACTGCAGGCCCGACCTATTTGTGGACCATGAAACCAATTAAGTAGGCTGGGACTACAATTGAAAAAATATTGGAACACATCGCATGAAATAAAGCTTTGTTTTAGTTATATATATATTCATACATATGTGTATATGTGTGTACATACATATGCACGCATGCCTGCACGAGTCACAATGCTAAGTGTATTCTTACTTTTGTGAGGTCAAAAAAGTTTGAAAGCTACTGAGGTAGAGGGACCAGGTAGGTTGAAGGGCTTATGGGCAGCAAGGAGCTTTGTGAGTCGTAGGGAGAAAGAAGGCCAGCATGGCTGAAGGGAGCACTGGTGTAAAATGAGGTAGGAAAAGTATATAATTTTCCTGCATATAACCTCCAGCCAGCATCTTAAATCTAGACTGCCACCTCTGTTCTCATCGTGGTTCATCATTGAGACAACATGGGAGAATAATCGCCCTGCTTTAATGTCACTTTGTAAACTGTCCCTAAGAGAAATTAGCAGTTACGCTAATGTGACTGTGAAATTAATCTCTAAGAAGGTATATTATAGTGAGAATGTTCTACTTGAATAACTAAAAAACAGAAAATAAAACCAAGTTCATATACCCTAGGGGAGCCCTCTGGTTCCTTTCAGATCCTCCTTTTAATGAAAAACGTTCAGGTTAGTTGGTAGTATTCAATTTTGCAAATCTCTTGGCTATAAACACAAACGGAAATAGTATAAAAAGACCATTTAAGTCAAATGTAGAGGGAAAAAAGCAGGAGACTGAGACTGTAGATATGGCTTTTCCATTAACCAGGTAAGTGTCCTCACAACTTATTTAACCTCTCTGGGCCCTCAGATTCCCTATGTGTGAAAAAAAAAGGTGGAGCAGGTTTTCCGTAAGGTCCCTTCATACTGCAAAATTTTATGATTCTAATTAATTTTAGAACAATTTACTATTTTAAACGTTGCAAAAATTAACCTGGTGTTTTATCAGAATTTTTTTTAAAAAGAGGAAGTTACATGATATACAATGAAGATAATGTCCTTAACTTTACAGTAGGTGACACAGTGTTTGGAGAACTAGAAGAAAAAGTCAAAGTTATCTCTGGAAGTTTATGTCCTACTTAGGTTGATCTGCACTTTGGAACCATGAGGCCTTTTTCACATCACGAGATCAGTAGCTTGATAAATAGCAAGATTCCTGAAAAGAAAGTTTAAACCTCAAATCATGTGTAACTAAAGCTTGACAAAGGCTCTCCAGGCAAGGTAAACGGAAAGTGAGTTGGCAACACAACTCACCTACAAGTTCTCCAATCATGAAAAGCAAGTAAAGAACGGCAGCGATGCTCAATCTGGTTTTCGCCTTTCTCTGCTTCAGTAACTCTCTCTGTTTGCTGCAGTTGTCACAGGGGTCCACCTTCAAACTCAGCTGACTGTTGGTCAAAGGTAGGTCCTGGTCCAGTAAGGAGTCGTCGTCGGCCTGGAGGGCCGGGTGCGCCCCGTTAATAGGCCTTTCCGGGGTTTCAGAACCATCATCGGCCACCACGACTCGAAGTTTGTTAAACCGAGAAAGCCCCTCGTCCCCCACCTCGTCCGAGAAGTCAAAGGCGCTGGTGTCATTTAAGAACAGCGGCGCATCATCCTTCCTCAGCAGAGATTTGAGGCGCTTCCACGCGCCGGATCCGGCCATGGCAGAGGCTGAGCGGCCGCGGCGCGGAACGGCTGGGTGCAGGCGGACTGCCGGCGGCTCCTGCTTCACCGGGCCGCCAGTTCCCGATGACACTGCCGCGCGTCCCTCCCCATCCTGTAGAACACGAAGCACGTTATAAATTAAACGCGCCCCAACAGTGCCCGCAAGTTCTGAAGCCCCGGGCGGCGGGGGCGCAGGGCCGGCCCGGAGGCGCCGGGGCTCCGC